GGCGACCCGGAGGATAGAGGCATCCATTGGGTGAGTTGGGCCAAACTCTCTCTCACCAAGTCTCATGGGGGTATGGGCTTTCGAGACTTTGAAGCTTTAAACCTTGCCCTTCTCGCTAAACAAGCTTGGCGGTTGTTTAAATTTCCCAACTCCCTTTGTGCCCAACTTCTAAAGGGAATTTATTTTCCATCTTCGGATTTTCTTTCAGCTGGAAGGGGGAGAAGGGCATCTTGGGCATGGTCGAGCATTCTCCAAGGGAGGGATCTCCTTCGTAAAGGCCTTCGGTGGCAAGTTGGTAATGGTCAGTCCATTAATTTTTAGGAGGACCGTTGGATTCATTATTCTCCACATTTTAAACCGACCAATTTGAAACCAGATGGCTGCCAAGTTCAGTGGGTTGGGGATGTAATCAATTCGACCCACGCTGTGTGGGACAGAGACAAACTTCTGGAGATTGTCAATCACGAGGATGTTAGTAATATCTCAGTCATTCCTATCTCATTTGAGGGTCAAGCAGATACTCTGATCTGGCACTATACCAATAAAGGAAATTATGAAGTCAAGAGTGGTTATCAGGTGGCCCGACAAGAGATGTTGGAAGCGCGCTCCTCTGTAACTTCCTCCTCTGTCCAGCCCCCTAAAGGTTTCTGGCAGTTCATTTGGTCCTTAAAGGTCCCCCCCGAAAATCTGAAATTTCTGGTGGCGAGTATGTTGTAACAGGCTAGCAACAAAAGAAAATCTATTTCGGCGGAAGTGTGCTCCTTCACCTCACTGTCCGGTTTGTCAGGAAAGTGTTGAATCCATCAAGCATATTCTCTTCCACTGTGACTGGGTGAGAGCCGTGTGGTTTGGATGCAATCTGGGGCTCCGAATTGGGTCCGATTTGATTGCTTCAGCTCTCCAGTGGACGGTATCTCTGATGCAATCTTGCTCTCAAGCGCTTGACAGAAGAGAGATGGTGAGTAGGGTGGCCACCGTTGGTTGGTGTATATGGAATAGTAGGAACAATTGGGTTTTTCAACAATGCTCTGTGGATCCTCATCGCGTTTCTCAACAAGCCTGTGCTTATTGGTGGGAATTTGAACAAGCCCATCACCACCCCGGGCCTCCATCACAGCAGAATTCTATTCCAGATCGCTCTCTCCCTCGTTGGATAGCTCCCCCCCTGGTTGTTTGAAAGTTTCTTGTGATGCCAGCTTCTCCTCTTCGGATGGTAGAGCAGCGTTGGCTGTCATTCTGCGAGATAGCCACGGGACACTAATTGATGGTGTGACCTCTATAGCCTACTCTTCTTCAGCTAAACAAGGAGAAGCTCATGCTATTCATCTTGCTTGCATGTTTCTTCGAGCTCTGGGTCTTTTGAATCTTCAAGTGGAGAGTGACAGCCAAGAAGTGATCACCCTTTGTGTTTCTGAGATGGTTCCTCCCTGGGACATTTCTGCACTCCTGCATGATATTCAGGTTGTGTCTTCCTCTTCCCAAGTTTCCTTTGCTTGGATTCCTAGGGAGTCAAACGAAGTAGCTCACTGGGTAGCACGAGCTCATATTCATGGAGCTCTGCCTTCTAACTGGGTTTCTATCCCTCCTACTGCTCTCTCGGCTTTGCTTTTGGCGGATGTTTCTTTGTAGCCTTCGGGCATTTCTATGATAAAAAAAAAAAAAAACAAAAAACATAAAATAAAAACCAAGTTTCATTTTGTGCGGTGGAAGATTGATCTTTGGTCCTAATGGGGCATCGCTATTTTTATCTACATTCCTAATAAGGGCACCAGCAATGACATTTTGCATAAAATACTTGTTTGCCATATCGTCCACCACGTGCTTCTTATTGCTCCATTTGCAACAACTGTGCAGACAGGTTTGATTATCATTGAATGAGTTCATGCCATATTTTCTTGTTATATCTACTGAATCCCTAAATTGTTTCTTTGTGTAATGAATAAGCGGGTTAAGTATGCAACATTAACTTGTTTGATGAAATGCCTCAATAAAATAGCTGTTATTCTCTGTGTTTATTCACCATTTGATTATGAGCCCAATCAATTCTCAATCAACCCTAAACCTTTTCCTACCAGGACCTAACTTGAATAGCGCCTGATTGCTTTCCCTGAGCCCACTATGGCTATTTCAATTTCCATTGGAATGGTTACCTCAGTTTTCATTAGACGCTAAATTGCACCTTAAAGTGCCTATTTTGATAACACGGTTAAAAGTTAGCCTTTTGACATTTTTAGCTTTTTTGAGTCATATTACCTCTCTACTTTTTTGCACGTTTTTTTCAATAAAAGTCAAAGAGTTAGCTTTTATTCTCACTGTCACGATCTAAACTCGCCCCTATAGGTTTAGCATCGTAACGGGCAAGTAATCCTAAGATTACTGAAGGCCTCTGAAATAGATTAGCAACTTAAGGGGCTAGTGGAAGCAAATAATAGATATAAAGCGTCCATAGAGTTGTGCGGACTTATATGGGATAGAAAATTTAACTTTATATTTACATATATTATGACGTCATACTTGCATCATCACCAATACAAATAAGCAAAAAGGGACTTAGCCCTACATACAAAATAAACAGAAGAAAATAAAATAACTTATGTTAGGTTTTTTATTCTTGGCAATCCAGTTTGACAAAACTCCTTTCAGTTATAATTTTATTCGGTCTTTTATTTCAGTGAGGCTATGAGTTTTAGATGTGAATCCAACCCAAATTGTGCCTATGCAGAGGAGTTTGCGATCTTAATCCTATCATGTTTACCACTTCGCTGACTATGTCGGGAGATCGAGCTGCCTAGTCAACTCGCGGGGGTCTGGGGGGCAGCGCCCCTTGGCGGGTCCGGGGCAGCACCCAGGCGGGGTCGAGAGGCAGCGCCTCCAAAGCAAAATGAAAAATGAAAATTCAAAGTTGGTTTTTCGCTCAAGCGGCCATTCCTGCGCTCGAGCGGAGATGCAATCTGTTTAGAAGTTTCACTCACCTGCAAAAGTACTGGAAGTTGTTTTTTCCCGTTCGAGCAGCCATTCCTGCGTTTGAGTGTAGATCTGCTCGAGCGGAGATCGTGGAACAGTTTGCTATAAAAGGTGCGATTCAGTCAGATTTTAGGATACGACTTCCAAATCTTCTTCTTAGGTATTAGGGTTTTCATCTGGAGCTTCTTTGCTAGTTTCTTTGATGTTTGTTTGAGTTTAACTCATGGTTTAAGAAGTATACATCAAAGGATTGTTTGTTTAATTCAATACAAAAGAGAGAGTCGTTCTTCGGTGAGTTTCGACAAATTTGGGCTTGAAGCTTTGGTGGATTCTGGAGTGGCTCATCATCGTGGATTCGACATCGACATTGTGAATTCAATGTTGGGCAAGACAATTCTGAGGTGAAAATCGTTATGGAAGAGGCATATAGGAGTCGGTTCGATTTGGGCGTGGATTCGCTAGGTAATTGAGAGTATACTTGTGTAATTCCTTTTGTCTTCTTAGTGGATTGTTTTGTGGTCTTGGCCCGTGATTTTTTATCACAATTGGAGGAGCTCAAATTGTGATTTTTCCACGTTAAAATCATTGTGTCAATTTGTTTTGATTGTTTGATTGAGATTAATATTGATATTTACTGCTTAGAATTGATATATAATCACAAATCAATATTTAGGGGATTTCTAGATTTCTCAACTTAGGATTTGTTCACATGGTTCACAAAAGACTTCCAGGGACCTTATCGGAAGGCGCACGAGTTGGCTGACACAAACAAATCCAGACTAGTAGTCTCAAGCCTGGTCACACACCTGGTCACCTACATATATAATATAAAATAATGAGCTGGAGCCCAATGAATAATAATAGAGTAAAGGTTTTATGAATGATAAATTAGAATTCAGATAAAAAATAGATTCATATACTTATTTAGATTTGTAAACAATCATACGTGGTACATCCATTAGTGCTAACAGATCAGATTGGTCATAAGGACCCATATACAGAGCAAGTGGTCATTAAGACCCATATTTATATTAGACAAATAATTGTGCACAATCGTAACAGATAACCATATAGGTTTCACAAATAGTTCCATGATTGGAACCCACAGAGATCCCTAGTACCAGGTAACAGATAACAGATGCAGATTCACATGATGCTAAGGATGCCACGATACATTTTAGAAATTGGACAATCATTCATCTATACAGAAAATATCATTTTAGAAAATAGAGCTTATCATATTCGTTAGAAAATATTTATAATTGAACATATCTTTACAAGGTTGTTACTCACAGATAGCTGTAAAAGCAGAACATGCGAATCAAACAGACGGTAACCTATGACCTAGACAAACACATAACAGATACACATGGAAACACATGCTTTGTAAACACTTGTCTTATTGCATTTCTTTCTAGGTGTGTTTCTAACCCTTATCCTCATTATTGTAGCCTAAATCATGGCTTAAGAATGTCTAAGATGAAATGAGGATGCAATTATGCACTTTGAAATACTTGCAAAATTTTAGAAACACAGGACAGTTCGCTCGAGTGCACCTTTGTTCGCTCGAGCGCATGGGAGCTCTCATTTCACGCTCGAGCCAATTTCTTGGTCGCTCGAGCCAAGACTAAAAATAAATGGTGGTCATTCGAGCGGTCTTTTGGTTGCTCGAGCCAATCATTAATTTTTGCAAAAGTACTGAAAGCTTGCAAAGTACCGAGAGCAAAGGAACCATTGCTCGAGCAAACCCTATGAATTTTGAAATTTCTAGATTACACTTACAAGTTCAAAACACAAGTTTAACACATCAAAACTCTTTCTTTTGGGCCAAAACTTTAGAAAACACTTAGAAACTTGTAAAAAAAACATGAAATGAAGTTCAATTCACAAAATCAAAGCCCAAAAGCAAGTGAATTCTTCAAAACCAAACCTTTAACTTAATGTATAGCAAATGCATGTATTGTTTTGAGCTCAGACTCTTTAAATCATGAACAATTAGGATGAAATGGTATGTCACATGATAAATTTTCAAAACAAAACTAGGATTGTTACATGCATGCAAGAATTCTTTGGGAAAGCAACCTCAAATGCCATGAAATATACATGCATGTCTGTATTGAGCTTTAATCCTTCAATCTTAGCTTAATTCTTGTATTTAACCACCTAACTCTCTTGAATTCATATGCTTAATGTCTTAAATACAAAGTTTAGGAGTGTAATTCTTACCTAAGGTTGAATTCAAGTGTGATTTTAACTCAAAGCTCCAAATTGTCTTCAAATTCCACCAATTCTTCATTTTCTCTTCTTTGATCTCAAATTCCCTCATACTCTCTCTCTTTACTTTTCTGGAGGCTCAAGGATGGCTTGTGGAGTGTATAAGGAAGGTCCTTGAATCAATTAGCCTTTTATAGGCTTAATTAGTGGTATTTAATTAATCTTGATTAGCCTTAGCTTAATTTTAATTAATTTATTCTAATTATTTGATTTTGTCACACCCCAAATCCAAGCATGATCGGCCGTGGCCCACAGGGACTTAGCCCAAGGCGCAGGTAAACCTAAACATGAACCCAAAATCACAAAGAATAAATGTGATGATAGCCTAGAAATAAATAAATCAAAACCCAATTCAGTGACAAGTTACGAGTATAAATGGTAAAACCAGCCATCAACTTCCAAAAATATATACCAAATGGAACACAAACCGCTCACAAAATAAAATAATTCTAAATAAAATCAAACCACAATGTATGCACAAAATCGACATAACAAGCTAAAACAAAATAATGAATGTCCTAAAGGTCCATGTAATTGAGTCCCCGCTGCACCATAAGTCCACTCTAAGTTCTTCTATCGCCTGAAAATGATAAACAACTAAGCCTTGGTTTGGTAAACATATTGGGACTAAATAAGCACATAAGGACAAAAAAAAGTCACAAAATCACAAAATGACAAAACACTTAACTTTTGATGCAAAATTACCAAATTGACTCATATACAAACAAAAAGTCAAAAAAGCATCATTTCCAAGTGGAGGGCAATTTTGTCATTCCAATGCAAAAAAGCCAAAAAAGTCAAACAAGAAAACCAAACAAACAAAAAAGCCCCAGGCTAAAAAAATCAAAAAAGTCAAAAAGACAAGTTTGCCAAACGACACAAGGCAGCAGATAGCTCAGTGAGTAGAAACATGGATAGTAAATACAGTTTTGAAAACATGGTTCAATTCCAAAATAAGATATATGTTATAGACACTAGATTGGCATACAGTTTTGATAAAGACTATCTGTTTCAAAAAGAAGGTTTCACAGTTCAACAGTTAAAATACTCATGTCTCTCAAGAACATAACAAATGACATTCTCCACTTAAAACAGATTACAACGTGATCATCAATAATTTTCTGGGTACCAAGAATAATAAGTAACATGCCACGTAGTTTTCCGTTGGATCCAAATCGAACCAAGAGTCATCCTCGGGGTGGCAACCCAGGCTTTTTCTCTAAGACGATCTGATTGAAAGTCACCTAGCCTAGCCCAGGTCTTTTCCTTACAATTGTTGAACACTAGAGTCATCACAGCCCAACCCGGATCTGTTCCCTAATGGCCAGAGTCACCACACACAATGGAATAATTTCCTTATACTTTTATATACAAATAGTCCCAATAATCAA